GGGCCCAACCCTCTTATAAGGAAATTTTTTTTAGCAACGGAATTCCCGTCCAATTTTTTTTAATTTCTAAATTTTTAAAAAAAATTTAGGAAACTTTTTTTTCCCCCCCTTTTTGGAACCCTACCTTTTTGTGGGAAAAACCCGTTACTTTTAAAAGGGTCTAAAAAATTTTTTTTTAAAACAATTTTTTGGTGGGTTAAAATTTCAAAAAAAAATTATTCTTGGTTAATTTTTGGGGGCATAGGGGGGGGTTTTTTATTTGCTTTTCTTTCTTTTCCTATTTGAAATCTTTTTTTAATTTTTTCCCCTTTTTTCCCCGGTCCCGGGGGTTTTTTTTTTTTTTCCCGTTTTGGGTGTGCCAAACCTTTAAAAGGGAAAATCCGGGTTCTATAAAATGAAATTTTTAGATCCCTTTTTCCCCTTTGGTTTCTTCCCCTGAAAAAAATTGGTTTTTATCCTTCAAAAGCCTTTCGCGCCCTTTTTTTGGGGGGCCGTTTTAACTTTTTTTACCCTTTTTTTCCCCCCCGCCCCTCGGCCTGGAATTTAAAAAAAACCGTTTTTTTAGGTTTCTTCCGTTAAAAAGGGGCCCCCCCCATGTCCCCTCAAACTGCATTGGGGGGTTTTTTGGGAAGGCCAAAAAAACTTTTTCCCTTGAAAAATTTTATAATTTTCTGTTTTAAAAGTTAACGTAAAGGCCCTTAAAGACTTTTTGGGAATTTGGGCCTTTATAAAAATTAATTTTTGTTGGGGGAAAACAACGAAAAAGGGTGGGGTTTTTAATTTATCTGCACTTTTTGTTTTTTGTGACCCCCATTCGGGGAGGGGAAAACCCGTTAAAAAACCGGGTTTAAAAAAAATTTTTTTTTTTTTCCCCCCCTTTTTTTAAAGGGATGGGTTTTTTTTCCTGCAAAAAGTTTTTTTAACTGTCTCCTGCTTGTGGCCCCGGAAAACCCCCAGCTTTCAAGTGGGGGGGGAAAACCCCGAAAACCCCGTTCCAGGAGCGCCCCCCCCAGATGAGGGGGGGGGGGGCCTTAAAAAAATTTTCCCCCCACACCCTTTGATGTTAAAATTTTTTGGGCTACTTTAGCTCACTTTTCTTGGGTAAAACTTTGATATTGAAGCCGTTCCCCCAGTCCCGGGTTTTGGGGGGGTTTGGTTTAAAAAACGGAAAGTTGGGGAAAAAAACCGGGAGGGAAAGAAATTTAGGGGGGGGATCTAAATTTAAAACCCCCCCAAAGGTTTTTAAGAACTATGCCCGAAACTCGTAATAATCCGAATAGAGAAATTTTCGATTTTTTTTTCTAAAAATGGGGATTGTCCCCTTTTCCCCCCCCCCATAAAAAATTTAAGGTGTTCTACCTTTTTATATTTATGATTTGCGTCTATGTTCTCATTTTATTTTAGCTACTAGAGTTGATCCATCTTTCATACTGACATGCATTTTTTAGTCTGGGTCTGTATACACTATATTGCCAAAAGTATTTGCTCACCCATCCAAATTATTGGAATCAGGTGTTCCAATCACTTCCATGGCCACAGGTGTATAAATTCAAGCACCTAGGCATGCAGACTGTTTTTACAAACATTTGTGAAAGAATGGGTCGCTCTCAGGAGCTCAGTGAATTCCAGCGTGGAACTGTGATAGGATGCCACCTGTGCAACAAATCCAGTCGTGAAATTTCCTCGCTCCTAAATATTCCACAGTCAACTGTCAGCTGTATTATAAGAAAATGGAAGTGTTTGGGAACGACAGCAACTCAGCCACGAAGTGGTAGGCCACGTAAACTGACGGAGCGGGGTCAGCGGATGCTGACGCGCATAGTGCGAAGAGGTCGCCAACTTTCTGCAGAGTCAATCACTACAGACCTCCAAACTTCATGTGGCCTTCAGATTAGCTCAAGAACAGTGCGCAGAGAGCTTCATGGAATGGGTTTCCATGGTCGAGCAGCTGCATCCAAGCCATACATCACCAAGTGCAATGCAAAGCGTCGGATGCGGTGGTGTAAAGCACGCCGCCACTGGACTCTAGAGCAGTGGAGACGCGTTCTCTGGAGTGACGAATCGCGCTTCTCCATCTGGCAATCTGATGGACGGGTCTGGGTTTGGCGGTTGCCAGGAGAACGGTACTTGTCTGACTGCATTGTGCCAAGTGTAAAGTTTGGTGGAGGGGGGATTATGGTGTGGGGTTGTTTTTCAGGAGCTGGGCTTGGCCCCTTAGTTCCAGTGAAAGGAACTCTGAATGCTTCAGCATACCAAGACATTTTGGACAATTCCATGCTCCCAACTTTGTGGGAACAGTTTGGAGCTGGCCCCTTCCTCTTCCAACATGACTGTGCACCAGTGCACAAAGCAAGGTCCATAAAGACATGGATGACAGAGTCTGGTGTGGATGAACTTGACTGGCCTGCACAGAGTCCTGACCTCAACCCGATAGAACACCTTTGTGATGAATTAGAGCGGAGACTGAGAGCCAGGCCTTCTCGTCCAACATCAGTGTGCGACCTCACAAATGCGCTTCTGGAAGAATGGTCAAAAATTCCCATAAACACACTCCTAAACCTTGTGGACAGCCTTCCCAGAAGAGTTGAAGCTGTTCTAGCTGCAAAGGGTGGACCGACGTCATATTGAACCCTATGGATTAGGAACGGGATGTCACTTAAGCTCATATGTGAGTCAAGGCAGGTGAGCAAATACTTTTGGCAATATAGTGTATGTGTTTCCCTGGCTAGGAGTCCGGACAAAATGTCTTCCAATAAAACAAAGACTCCTGATGGATGAAAGGCAGCTCCAGACCTTCTCTCTTCTTCTTTGTTCCGGAGATTGCTGGCCACACAGTTGGAGTAGCAGCAGGGCAATTAGCAAGGGTCGGCATCTGATCCCTGAAGTCAATTTCAAGAAGTAGGTTTAACAAACTCAGACTCAAATGCTCACCTCTGAATTGACATAAATGTAAATCCCTTTACTGATCTCACAATGAGGAAATTTACTCTCTGCGTTTAACCCATCCCCTTTGGGAGCAGTGGGCTGCCATTGTGTGGCGCGTCCGGGGAATAGTGGGGTTAAGGGTCTTGCTCAGCGACCCAGAGCGGAGGCTGAGAGAATTTAACTGGATACTTGCAACCTTCTCAGAGCACAACCAAATTGCTGTAACCACTAGGCCAACACTCCACATCTAGCCTAAGGTTGAAAACTCTAAGTTTTTGGTTTCATAACGGCTCCTGTGAATTCTAAGTTGGTTCACTCAGAGGTGAACACGTGGCTAACAAGTATGAAAAGCCAAGATCAGGGGAGCCCAGATTCGACGAGTCACCATGAAGACAGGCAAGAGGAAGTGCCTCTTTTACATTACAGGAACTATAAATCTTAATCCAAAAATGGAAAAAAAAGGAAAATGTATTTGAAAGACAGAGAAACAGCTGCAGCTGCAAAGGGGAGGAAGATGGAGAAGATTGCTGCTCGAGTTAATGCTTGTTTATATGAAGTTTCTATGGCAGGCTGTTTTAACATTTACTCAAAGCGCTGAAATGCTGTCATGTGACTATACTTTTTCAGCCACCCGTAACTTAACTGTCTCTGTAATTCATGTGGGAAGCAGCTTTTGAAATGAACACCTGCCACCTACCAAACAACCAAAATGTTTTATTTGGCCAGTTATTGGCAGATCACTATTTGCCCAAGGCCAGTAAATGTTTGCACTTCAGTTGCACTATAGACACGTCCTTTCTTCTTTTATTTTGGTAAGTCTCCCATCTGTCCCTTTGTTCCTCACACACCAATAGTTGGGGAGTGATGGTCTAGTGATTAAAGCAGTCCAGCAAATACCCGCTCCGATCCCCACAGCCTCCACTCTGGGTTCCTGAGCAAAACCCTTAACCCCTGATTGTTGCCCGGGGGCCACACAATGGCAGCCCACTGCTCCCTAAGGGGATAAGTTAAATGCAGAGTGAATTTCTCCAATGTGAGATCAATAAAATTAAATTATTATTATTAGACAGATGCGCTTACAGAGAGCACAACCCCGCCACCCCGTCATTTAACAACACTGCCGCTAGGCAATATATAGTTGGAGAAACCAAGCCTTCTAAAAGACATCATGCTGAGGAGTAGAAGAAGAAGAAACTAGGGTCTACAGCCTCCAGGAGGTAGAGACAGTTTATTAATAATGGTGCTTTCAGGAAGACTGTTTCACAAGCGGCTTATTTATAAAGATGCTAAGCTAATGAGCTGCTCAGTATGAAGCAAAAAACCAAAAACAGACCTGAAGTCGTTGTCAGTCTATGAACCTGCAGACCATCGGTGAAATCAGATGCAGCAAATCAGAATCAGAATCAGAAATACTTTAATAGTCCCAGAGGGAAATTACTTTTGTTACACGCTCCAGTTACAGTTTTACATGATATATACACACATCCAAGTATTTTGCACTTTTTTAAATTCAATTCAATTAAATTCTAAATGGCAGCTTTATTTAATGAAACTTTAGCTTAACATAGTTTCCATTTAACATAATACCTCAAATAATATGTTCCTTAAAAATATGAGAGCAAATAGTTTTGTTTTTCTGGCTGGTAGATAATTTTGTCTTCCGGTCCTCTTGGCTGCTGAGTCAAGAAGTTAATTTCAGACCCTGGTGCTAAATATGTTTAGTTAGCTTCTCTTACTATTGTTTTCTACCTGGTTTCAAAATGAAGCTGCCCACAAAGAGGCTTTATTTGAATGAGGCCCACAATCTTGGTTAGATCTCTAAATGTGCCAGCCATTTTTACTCGTGTGTGGGCGTGTTTTAGCAGAGTAAACAGCAGTGGACTGAGCACACAACCTTGAGGGATTCCAGCGCTAAGCTTGATACTGTTGAGAAGGATTTAGATATCTTAACAACAGATTTATCTGCAGAGGTCTGTGTTTTAAACCTGTAGTCAGAATCTTCTTTGGTTTTGTTTTTCAAACTGCAGTTTTTTCCTTTTTTTCAGAGAAAGGATCTAAGTTCTTCTTGTTCGTGCCTTTTGTAGCATATTCGACGTATGTCAGCTGGTTTTTCAGACGATAAAATGCAACTTTAGCGTGACGAGTGGTTAAAAAATTATCAGGTACTCAGCTTGTCGGTCTCACATCCTCCTTCAGCCGGCTGTGGTTTGGCTAAACAGGATGTTATTAAGACACATTTTCTGTGAGACGGACAGAACGGCTTCAGCCTGCTGACGATATGAACACAGCACTGCGTCTGCTCTGTGAGTACACAACGCTTCAACAATAAGTGGCGCCTTTCTTAGAGATCAGTGACTGCACTCATGGTCTGAATCTTTTCTCAGTGTGTTTCAGCTGCTACCAGATGACTTTTTCTTATGGTAAGCCTAATCAGAGGGTAGAGAAACATTTCACTTTTATTTGTGTTTGGTCTTTTGAAGCACATCTGTTTGGTTGCTTGTTGTGAGCTCTCAGTCTGCCATATATATCAATTCAGAGGATTATTTTTTGTGGGGAGATGAGATGAGGATTGAAGTATAACAAAAAACCCTGAAAAGACGAAAAAATAATTTAACTCAAACATACGTGATACTTCTACACAAATATGCTTATATGTATTGCAGCCAAATTATGAAAGTGTACTTTATGACGCTTCTGTAATAAATGCAGAACAAGTTCTCATGTCACTATGATGCCTTCCTTTTGGCTCACCCAGAGTTAGACTTAGTGTCTGGGTTTTCTTTCTGTACCTGTCAGACCCTGGGAGGATGGATGGATGGATGGATGGATGATGGATGGATGGATGGATGGATGGATGAGGATGGATGACGGATGGATGGATGGATGGATGGATGATGGATGGATGGATGACGGAGGGATGGATGGAGGGAAATGGATGGAACGAAAAGGGTTTTGGAAAGGAGGAATGATGGATGGATGGTTTGGTAGGATGGTTGAGGGGTTGGATAAACGATGGAGGGAAATGGTTGGATGGATGGATGATGGATGGGATGGTTTGGGATGATGGAGGGGATGGAGGGGATGAGGGGAGGGTTTGGATGATGGAGGGAGGGGATGAGGGATGGGGGAGGGATGGATGATGGTGGATGGAGGGATAGATGATGGAGGGATGGTTTGATGGATGGATGATGGAGGGGAGGGAGGGAGGATATGGATGGAGGGGGGGGGAGGGAGGGAAAGGGATGATGGATGGATGGATGGATGATGGAGGGGTTTGGATGGTTTGGATGGAACGAAAATGGGGAGGGGATGGAATGGATGATGGAGGGATGGATGGGGGATGGAGGGATGGAGGGGATGGATGGAGATGGAGGGATGGTTTGGTGGGAATGGATAAGGCGAAAAAGGAGGTTGGTTTGGATGGATGGATATGGATGGATGGGGATGGATGGAGGGATGAGGGATGTTTGAGGATGGTTGATGATGGAGGGAGGGGATGGATGGATGTTGGGGGATGGATGAGGAGGTTTCGGATGGTTGGAGGGATGGTTGAGGATGGATGACGGATGGATGATGGATGGTTGGATGGGGGAGGGTTTAGGGGTTGGGTTGCGGTGTTGATGGATGGTGGGGGGGATGTTGGGGGTTGGAGGGGGGGAGGGTTGGGGGGAGGTTGGTTGGATGCGGATGGGGTTGGGAGGATGAGGGGATGGGGGATGGTTGGAGGAGGGTTAAGGGTTGTGATTTTTTGGGGGAGGGGGGGGTTGGGGGCGAGGGATTTTGGATAAATTGAGGGATGATGGGGAGGGATGGTTGGTGGGTTGGTGGATGGTGGGGGGGGGATTTTTTTTTTGGGGGGGTTGGGAGGGGAGGGAGGGACGGGGGGGGTTGATGGGTTGGAGGAGGGTTGATGGGGGTTGGGTTTAAAATGGGGGGATGAGGAGGATGGGGGAGGGTTGGGGTTGGTTTGGGGGGTTGGTTGGGGGGGAGGGATGGTTGGTTGCGGTGAGGGAATGGGGTTTGTGGTTGGATGGATGGGGGAGGACTGATGTTAAATGGGGAATGAGGGGGATGGGGAGGATGGGGGAGGGTTTTTTGGGATGGGGGAGGGGATTTTTTTTTTGGGGGATGATGGTTGAGGGTTGGATGGAGGGTGGGGTTAAAGGTTGGTTGAGGGTTTTTGGATGAGGTTTGGATGGATGATGAGGGTTGGATTTGGTTGGATGGTTGGAGGTTGTTGGATGGAGGGAGGGGGGGGAAAGTGAGGTTGGTTGGAGGTTGGGGGGAGGGATGGGGGATGGAGGGGTTTGGAGGGGTTGGGGGTTGGGATGGTTTTGGATGGGGGGGGGATTTTTGGGTGGGGGATGGGGGGAATGGTGGAGGATGGATGGTTGGGGGTTGGATGGAGGGAGGGATGGAGGGAGGGAGGGTTGAGGATGGATGGAGGGGATGCAGATAAAAATTTAAAAAAGGATGGAAATGGTTTGAGGGATGGAGGGGAAGGAGGGGATTTTGGGATGGGAGGGTTGAGGGATGGAGGATGGTTGGAGGGAAGTTGGAGGGGATGGTTTGGAGGGAAAGGGACGGATGATGAGGGGAGGGATGGATGGATGATAAAAGGAGGTTTTGGATGGAGGATGGATGACGGATGAGGGAGGGATGGATGATGGATGGGGTTTAATTTTTTGGTTTGGTTTGGTTGGAGGGAAAGGGGAGGGTGGATGGAGGGAAGGGAAATGATGGATGGATGGATGGATGGATGGATGGAACAAAGGGTGGATGATGGTTTGGATGGATGGAGGGGAGGCGGAGGATATGGAGGGAATAGATGGTGATGATGGATAAAGGAGGGGTGGTTTGGATGATGGATGACGGATGATGATGGATGGATGGGGAAAGATGAGGGAATGATGAGGGATGATGATGGATGGTGGATGGATGGATGGATGGATGGATGACGGATGGAGGGGATGTTGAGGTGGATGGATGGGATGATGATGGATGGGGAAATGATGAAGGAAGGGATGGATGGTTTGGATGGATGACGGAGGGTTTGAGGGAAGGAGGGATGGATAAAGGATGGTTTAAAGGATGATAAATGGATGGTATGGATGATGAGGGATATGGATGGAGGGATGGATGGATGGGGGATGAAAATGGAGGGATAAAGGATGGATGGAGGGAAGGATGGATGAGGATGATGATGGATGGATAGGGATGATGGAGGGATGGATGAAAAATGAAAAGGATGGATAAAGGATGATGAGGGAAATGGATGATGGCTGATGAGGGGATGGTGGGGGAGGGAAGAGGGAGGGAAAGGGATGGGGTTGGATGGATGGAGGGATGGATGATGGAGGGAATTTGATGGATAAATGATGGATGATGATGGATGGAGATGGAGGGGATGGATGTTGTGGTGGATGGAGGGGATGGATGATGGATGGATGGATGGATGATGGGGGATGGATAAATTGGAGGGGGGAAAGGGAAATGGAGGGAAAGGGATGGAGGGAGGGTTTTGGATGGATGGCTGGTGATGGATGGGGGGAGGGCCAATGATAAAGGGAATGGGATGGAAGACGGATGGATGGAGGGATGCCCGGTGATGATGGAGGGATGGTTTGGGAGGGATGGTTTGGAAAGGGATGAGGGGTTGATGGGAGGGATGGATGGAAAAATGGATGGAAGATGGATGGTTGGATGGATAAGGGGATGATGTTTGGAAATGGATGGATGGATGGATGGATGGATGACGGATGATGATGGATGGATGGATGGAAAAGGGGATGGATGGGGATGAGAGGTTTTATGATGGATGAAATGATGAAGATGTGTGGAGGGGATGGTGGATGGGGGGTTTGGTTGACAGATGATGATGGAGGGTGATGGATGCTTTGGTGACAGATGTTTAGGAATGGATGATGGATGGAGGGAAAGGACGGATGATGATGGGGGAAATATGGATGCATGGATGACAGTTTGATAAATGGATGCTGGAATGACAGATGATGATGGAGGGAAATGATGGTGGATGGATGAGGGTTGTGATGGGAGGGTTTGGGGTTTGCATGGAGGGACAGATGTTTATGGATGGATGGGGGAAATGCATGGTTTACAGGGGAAGATGGATGGATGAGGATGCATGGATAAACAGAGATGAGGAGGGGGGAATGATGGAGGGGTTTGGATAAACGGATAAAGATGGATGGATGATGGATGCATGGATGACAGATGATGATGGTGCAGGGGATACAGATGTTTAGGTGGATTGTGGATGCATGGTGAGGGATAAATTAAAATGGAGGGATGGATGGTTTTGGGAGGGATGGTTTGAGGGGATGATGAGGGAAAGGATGATGGATGATGATGGATGATGGATGGAGGGGATGGATGGATGCGGATGATGTTTGGAGGGGATGTTTGATGGATGGATGGATGGAGGGGTTGGATGACGGATGAGATGGGGGATGAGGGAAATGATGGATGGAGGGAAATGCCCAAATGATAATGGATGGATGATGGATGTTTAGGGAAATGGATAAAGGGATATGGAGGGGATAAAGGGGATGGAAAAAGGATGGATGGATGATGGATGGTGGATGGATGGATGTGGATGGATAAAGGGGATGATAAATGGATGATGAGGGGATGGATGGGGAAATGGATGGATGGAGGATGTTGGATGGATGGTTTGGAAATGGATGATGGATGGAGGGAAATGGATGATGGATGGATGGAGTGGATGGATGGATGGATGGATGGAAGGGATGGATGGAGATGGATGGAGGGATGGATGGATGGAGGGGAGGGAAATGATGGATGGAGGGATGACAGATGTGATGGAGGGATGGAAGAGGGAAATGGATGGGGGATGACGGATGAGATGGATGGATGGATGGAGGGATGGAATGGATGACGGATGATGATGGATGGAGGGATGGATGGAATGGAGGGAAGATGGAGGGGAAGGGAAATGGATGGTGGATGGATGGGATGTGATGGATGGTTGGAGGGATGGATGAGGATGTTTGATGGAGGGGATGGAGGGATGGATGGATGACGGATGATGGGTTTGGATGAGGGATCTTTGTGACAGATGATGATGGATGGATGGTGGATGCATGGATGACAGATGATGATGGATGGATGATGGATGGATGGATGACGGATGATGATGGATGGATGTGGATGAAATGGATGACAAAATGATGTTTTGGAGCATTGAGGGACAATGATGATGGATGGATGATGGATGGATGGATGACGGATGATGATGGATGGATGATGGATGCATGGATGACAGATGATGATGGATGGATGGGGATGCAGGGAAATGACAGATGGGGTTTAGGATGAGGGAAGGGATGGTGAAAGATGATGATGGATGGATGAGGGGAGGGAAATTTGGATGACGGATGTTTGAGGGAGGGAATGGTGGATGCATGGAGACAGATGATGATGGTGGGAGGATGGGATGCATGGATGACAGATAAATAAATGGAGGGATGATGGATGGATGGATGACGGATGATGAGGAGGGATAAAGGGTTTTGCGGATGACAGATGATATGGATCCCAGGGTTGAAGAGAGAGGGATGGTTTGGGGAAATTCCCATGGATGACAGATGATGTTGGATGGATGATATGGTGAAGGGGATGGTTTGGTGGTTTGGAAAGATGAGGGATGACAGATGATATGGATGGAGGGAGGATGAAAAACGCTAACATCTGTTAGAGGCGTCAGAGCTTTATTAGAATGTTAGCATCATGTCTCTCTGAATGAGAGCGTTTCTGAACACCGCCATCTGGTGGTCAATGTGTGTCTCCTCCAGCCTCCATCGTGGTCACTCCCAGCAGGTCTCAGTTTTATGAGTATAACAAAGTCTCCATCAGCTGTGAGCAGTTCAGACCAGGTGTATGGACCGTGTGGGGATACACAGATCAAAGGTCAGTTCTCCTCTGATCATCAGACTGGTTTATTGTTGTCTGTTCATTCATTCCTCACAGCCACAGTTAGATTGATCTTCTTTATAAGTCTAATGAAGCAGCAGCTGTTTGCAGATCTAATGCTTCCTTCTTTCTCCACACCTGAGGCGTCCATGGGTTTAATGACTGATGTGTGTCCAGGCTGCGGGTGTCCGAATGTGGCAACGAGTGGGGGACTCTGAACCGCTCCACCTGCACCTTAAACACCTTGAAGGAGTCCAGCAGTGGAGTGTACTGGTGTGAGTCCAAACACAGGGACAGCAGCAACGTCATCAACATCGCCGTCACAAGTAAGAGTCACCCTGCGTCATGGAGGAACACTTCCTCCTCCTTCCTCTGATCACAAGATGCACATAATACAGGTGCTGGTCATAAAATTAGAATATCATGAAAAAGTAGATTGATTTCAGTAATTCCATTTAAAAAGTGAAACTTGTATATTATATTCATACATTACATACAAACTCATATATTTCAGATGTTTATTTTGTTTAATTTTGATGATTACAAATGACAACAAATGAAAATCTCAAATTCATCATATCAGAAAATTAGAATATTACTGAAGACCAATAAAAACAAAGGATTTATAGAAATGTTGGCCAACTGAAAAGTATGAACATGAAAAGTATGAGCATGTACAGCACTCAGTATTTAGTTGGGCCTCCTTTGGCCTGTATTACTGCAGCAATGCAGGCGTGGCATGGAGTCGATCAGTCTGTGGCACTGCTCAGGTGTTATGATAGCCCAGGTTGCTCTAATAGTGGCTTTTAGCTCTTCTGAATTGTTGGGTCTGGTGTATTGCATCTTCTTCTTCACAATACCCCATAGATTTTCTATGGGGTTAAGGTCAGGAGAGTTTGCTGGCCAATTAAGAACAGGGATACCATGGTCCTTCAACCAGGTACTGGTAGCTTTGGCACTGTGTGCAGGTGCCAAGTCCTGTTGGAAAATGAAATCTGCATCTCCAAAAAGTTGGTCAGCTGCAGGAAGCATGAAGTGCTCTAAAACTTCCTGGTATGTGGCTGCGTTGACCCTGGACCTCAGAAAACACAATGGACCAACACCAGCAGATGACATGGCACCCCAAACCATCACTGACTGTGGAAACTTTACACTGGACTTCAAGCAACGTGGATGAAGTGCCTCTCTTCTTTTCCTCCAGACTCTGGGACCTTGATTTCCAAAGGAAATGCAAAATTTACTTTCATCAGAGAACATGACTTTGGACCACTCACCAGCAGTCCAGTCCTGTTTCTCTTTAGCCCAGGCAAGACGCTTCTGACGCTGTCTGTGGTTCAAGAGTGGCTTGACACAAGGAATGCGACAGCAGAAACCCATGTCTTTCATACGTCTGTGTGTGGTGGTTCTTGAAGCACTCACTCCAGCTGCAGTCCACTCTTTGTGAATCTCCCCCACATTTTTGAATGGGTTTTGTTTCACAATCCTCTCCAGGGTGCGGTTATCTCTCTTGCTTGTACACTTTTTTCGACCACATCTTTTCCTTCCCTTCGCCTCTCTATTAATGTGCTTGGACACTGAGCTCTGTGAACAGCCAGCCTCTTTAGCGATGACCTTTTGTGTCTTGCCCTCCTTGTGCAAGGTGTCGATGGTCGTCTTTTGGACAACTGTCAAGTCAGCAGTCTTCCCCATGATTGTGTAGCCTATAGAACTAGACTGAAAGACCATTTAAAGGCTTTTGCAGGTGGTTTGAGTTAATTAGCTGATTAGAGTGTGGCACCAGGGGCCATCAATTTTGAACCTTTTCACAATATTCTAATTTTCTGATATGATGAATTTGAGATTTTCATTTGTTGTCATTTGTAATCATCAAAATTAAACAAAATAAACATCTGAAATATATGAGTTTGTATGTAATGTATGAATATAATATACAAGTTTCACTTTTTAAATGGAATTACTGAAATCAATCTACTTTTTCATGATATTCTAATTTTATGACCAGCACCTGTATAAAACAGATCTGAGAGCAGCAAAACAGAAACACACATGTTCACATCCCCACAGACACTAAAGGAAACCAATGACACCAAACAAGAGGCAGGACCATCCATCTTTAAACCATCACTAAACTTCAGATCTGCTTTAAAAGACCAAAGGAATAGTTGCACTAGATCACTTACATCATTCAGGAGAATTTTACAAGAGAATTCATTCAACCAGATCCCTTCATTGTTGCTTCTATTCCATATTGAGTTAAATGTCTGACACTTGAACATTTGGAGGGAAAACAACCTGAGTTCATCAAGGCTGTTTCCTGTTAGGTTAATCTATCTTCCACTGCTCAGATGGATCTCCTAATAACAGCATTCCTACCCTTCATGCCATGAAGGAGGCTGTGTGAATCATCCTATATCATGACCTTTGTTTGGATCCTGTGAGGCTAAGAACAGACATACCTGAAAATTTTTACTCACTTCTTACTTTGGCCAATTTCCAGCTGTTAATCTGTGAGCACAACGCACTGGATTCAATTCTATTCAGTTTATTTCTATAGCTCCACTTCACATCATGTCATCTCAGGTCACTTTTCAGTTCACCAGATCATCCAGTCAGATTGATTCAAAGTTTTCTATCTAAGGAAAACCAGCTGATTGCATCGACTCATTGGATGTGAGCGTGAGGCAATGTTTTTTACTGCCTCTGTGATTATAAATGGCCTGTTTTCAGCTGTGATTAAACATTAAATGGCTGTTATTAGCCTTTTTCAGTCCCATAGAATGGCTTCAGACTGCGCCTCCTCTACCTTCTGGTAGGTTTCTTATGGATGATTATATGCAGCTTATCGTTGATAACAGACCATGTCTAAAACCTTAGGTTTCACTTTCTATTTACCTACCTTATACTTTTTATCTACTTTATTTACAGTCCACCTTCTTTAAGAAAACTGTGTTTTAAAGCTTTACTTCCAGTGAATTCCACACTTTTCAGTCAGACAAATTTAATGTAGTGTCGGTTACATATATGAGATTTTTTGGGAGGGGTTGTAAGATATGAGCGACATGCAGATCAACTTTTTTATATTAGTGGAAGAACTTCTAAAATTATGTTCAGATTACACATCAATACATTAATTAATCTAGTGAGTAAAAAAGGAGTTACCTTAGTGCTACGATTAGGATCAATTTGGTTATTACAACCCACTGAGCCTACTGGGAGGTAGGACGCCCAATCTGAAGCCATCCTATGGGACTGATAACCGCTAATAATGGTCATTTAATGGGATGAGACCATCCAAAGTGGCTGAATCGGCTGTGTGAACGTTTTTGGATTACATGTCGGGTCACACTTTATTATTTACGGGTCTGTGTATTCCCAGCCGGGTTTTAAATTGGAATACTTGCGGATAACGGGTCTGTACGGGTGTCTCTACCCATGAAGGACTCTGAGAGACGGTACCCTTGGTCCAAAAGATAAGTAGTGTTTTTACTAAGACATCTATTCCAACAGGAAGTCTTAGATCAGAAATCTCTTATAGGATGTAGACGTCTCAACAAACACTTTCATCAATCTGTCCAGGTCCTTAGTTTAGGATGGGATTTAGAGCAGTCAGTCAATAAGAAAATAAATCCTGGTTTTATCCTTTAACCAAGCAGTGTCCTTCTCTCTGTTGTTGTGTTTAGGAGATTCAGTGATCCTGGACATTCCTGTCCTTCCTGTGATGGAGGGACAGAACGTTACTCTGAGCTGTGAAGACAAGGACAAACATTTAGACATTACAGCGTCTTTCTTCAAAAATGGATCCCTCATCAGCACTGAACCTACAGGTCAACTGACCCTTCATAAAGTCTCCAAGTCCAATGAAGGAGCTTATAGATGTCAGTCAGTCAATGGGAAGACTTCTCCATCCAGCTGGCTGCTCATCGAAGGTAAAGATCAATTCCAGGAATACAGACATAGAAAAATGAGAAAGAAGCAAGAATAATTAGGAACACTAGAGCAGTGGTCTCCAACCCTGGTCATCAAGATCTACTGTCCTACAGATTTTAGATGCATCCCTGCTTCAACACAGCTGAATCAAATGAATGGCTTGAAAAGGTAATCAATCATTTGATTCAGCTGTGTTGAAGCAGGGATGCATCTAAAATCTGTAGGACAGTAGATCTTGAGGACCAGGGTTGGAGACCACTGCACTAGAGGAACCGGTTTGCTTCAGGAGGTAGCTAACTGAAGGTCCATCTCTGTCCTCAGATGGCTCCAAACCAGCGTCTCTGACTGTGAGTCCAGACTCCTCTCAGCTGTTTGAGTACGATTCCTTCTCTCTGAGCTGTGGAAACAACAGCAGGCGTCAGGAATGGACAATCAAAAGAAACCCAAACAATGGAAAACAGATCTCCAGCTGTGGGGACGGCTGGGGCCAACTGGCTTCTTCTGGCTGCAACATTTTAACAGCAAAACCAACTGACAGCGCCATCTACTGGTGTGAGTCTCTGTCTAAGCAGCGCAGCAACTCAGTCCACATCACAGTTGGCATCAGTAAAGGTAGGCACCATGACGCGAACCAGTTTGCATCGGTATACTTACTATCTGTTTAATGCTCCGCCCACAAAGTCAACTGGACTCTGATTGGTCCAGAGCAAAGTAGTAAGACACAGACGGAGGCCAACCCCGTCCAAATATGGGTAACAAAGAGATATTATTAGATGCAGGAACTATGCATCCATCTTCTATCGCATGTTCAGGTTCCTGGGCCTGGTCCCTATCTAGAGCAATCTGTGTGAAAGCGGGTTACAACCTGGACAGGTCGGCAACTATCAACGGCAACACAGAGACACTACTGTACACACAGACACACACAGCAACACTTAACCAGCAGTGTTGAACTGTAAGAGGAATCTGGAGAAGCCGCAGAGATGCACACAAAAAACATGCAAATTCCATTTACCTACTAGCTTAAAGGCAACAATAGAAGGAACCATGCAGCCCCACACAGGAACTAAAGGATTAAAATTCAACATTTATCACAGCTTCAAGTGAAGAAATAGAGTACATAGTGTGGAGTAAAAAAATGTTGAGCTATGTCTGTTCTTAGCCTCCCAGGCTCCAAACGAAGGTCATGATATAGGATGAGTCACAGCCTCCTTCATGGCATGAAGGAGAGGACTGCTGTTATTAGGAGATCCATCTGACCAGTGAAAGATAGATTAACCTAACAGAGAACGATATGTGAGAAAGTTCTTTATGTAGGGGGTGGGTTGGTTCCCCAGGGTGGAGTGTGTGTGTTGTAAGGTCTAAATGTACTGAGGTTGCCTCAGTCAGAGTCCTATCTCTCCGTCTGAGGACATTAAAAAAATTGAATCTTTTTTCTTGCAAGAAATGCCTCTGTCCACAACAGTTATTAGAATACTGATTTTAATTCATTCTTACAGACATTTTTCAGTACGACATGGTACTACAGTGCAATATGTTTTGTGTTTAGCACCATTGCCTCGTCCTTTGTAAGAAATAAATCCCTTTTTTTATTCTCTTAGATGTGATCCTAAAGAGTCCTGCCCTGCCTGTAAATTCTGGAGATACTGTCACTATGAGCTGTCAAACAAAGACCACTCCCTCCAACCTCTCAGCTGATTTCTATAAAGATGGCTCCCTCATCAGGACTGAACCCACAGGTCATGTGACGCTCCTCCATGTGACCACGTCTGATGAAGGCCAATACAAGTGTAACATCGGTGGACGTGGAGAGTCTCCATCCAGCTGGCTGTTTGTCCGAGGTTAGTTTTCCACCCTGGAACATCTCAGACGTAAAGAATAAGAGACCTGTGTTTCCTTTTGGTCCATTTTATTGGACCTTCGTTTGCAGAACTACAACTATGACCAATTAGAACCAGAAGTGTTACCTCATGGAAGCAGAACTACACTATTATAGAACAGAACCATGTACAGTAGAACCAGACCAACAGCCATGAGAACTATGATCATAAAAAACCAGAATTATGACCATATAGAAGCAACTATGACCATGTAGAACTAGATCTATGAACTTGGAGAAGTGGAACAACTACCATGTTAAACCAGAACTGTAACCATATTCACAAAAAACTAGGAATTATATGCTATGATGCAAAAACCCAGAACTATGACCCTGAAGAACTAGAACTATGAATGAATAACCCCAGAACTACAAACATGCAAAACCAGAAATGTGACCACAATGACCTAGACCTATGAGGACATAAATCTAGAACTATAACAGCGGCAGTGTAAAATCAAAACTATAAAATTCTGTGTTATTGATAGGGTTAAATGTGGTGAGGTGGACAGTACCACCGTTAAACCCACTGATGTTAAATGATGAATATTCTAGAATTCGGATGGTGACCAGCAGGGGGTGCCAAGCTAAAAACAGGCCGACAGAGAAGGCAGCTGCCTCTGGGTGCCAAAAAGGAACCAAACCATTGAAGTTAATGTTTACACTTACAACCACCCTGGTGTGGTGCGTTGGTGGTTGTCAAGGCTAAATGGACCAATAAAATCTCGCATTTCCCCATCGAGGTCAATTTCACACACCACACAAGAAAAAACAGGTGCCTAACAGAATAAATTCCCAATGAATTTCAGAATAGAATTAAATCACCAACACTGGACCAGTAAAAACAATAAAGCCAAACAGAAACAGAGGGGCTATAAAAAGGCATACTTAGGTGCACTGATAACAAGTTTTGCCCGACAACTTCTCGGAATGTATCAGCTATTAAAACCCTGTGGCTTTGTTCCATTTGTTCCGTTTGTATCTAGAAAATAGACTAGAAACAGGAGTGGAGGCAGTTGATTTTTTTGCAGCGGAATTTTTACCAGATAAAAATTAAATGTAAGGAATTCAATGTGCCAAATAAATTCAGTGTTTAGAATTCAGAGTACAGAAAAAGGTAGATTCCAATGAGATGTTTTCCTTCCATAAAGACTCTCCATGATGATAAAGGTCAGTCTACTGTGGCCTTTGCATGGAAGTTCTCCGATTGGGAATACCCCCCAAACGGTCGATGAGGTGATGGGCAAATACAGTCATATAAATCTGTGCTTTGGAGCGTAGAGCCCACTCCTAAACGCCAACAAGCAAGGCGTGAAATCTCAACAAAATCTCATGTATCCAGCCCAAATACTTATCATGTGTTTTATTAACAGCTGCTGAACACTCTGATTCCCACTCATCTTCTGCTGTGACTCCACTGTGGACAATCAGCCATGTTGCAGCGTTGATCTCCTTTATCTACCCAACATACTTCATCATTTGCTGTTGCAGACACAGAAACAAAGGTACCAGAACATTCTGATCCAATGAAGGAAACTGTTGTGATGTTTGCTGAATCATAAAACCTGACCTCTACTCTCTGCAGGAAGGAGTCCACCACTTCCTGCCAGAACATCAGCATCCAGAGCAGCAGAGGAAGATGAAGCTGACTATGATGACGCCATGGGGCAGGTCACCACTGAGCATCAATTCTGAAATCCTTCTTTTTTAAATACTTTTACTGTTTAAAGTGTTATAACTCTCAGCGTTATGTGTTGTAGATTTTTTTGTACTTTGGACATGAAGTAAGAAATAAATATTTTTATTTTTTAAATGAGTTCTTTAGCTTTGTTGGAACGAGATGATGCTCTATCCCTTCCCATCAAAAGGGTCACCTTCTGCGACTGACAGAACATCCGGCGGTGGGACCAAAATGATCCTGAAGAAAGTTCTCTGAAGGAGAACAGAAGTCCTGATCCAGGTGGACTGGGTCCTCCCTGAGGAATGGATCATGCAGTTTAGCCTTCCAGCTTTTCAGTTTGGAAGTTCTGAGAACATGGAAACTACTCAAGACTTAAGAGCTCCTAAAGTGAAGAAATGTTAGTAGCAGTGAGGATTATTTAACAATCATACAGTCGTTAAAGCAGGAAGATGAGATAAACATTTTCATCCGTAGTTCAGCTAAATGAGGTAAAGGTTAACCTCTACAAACATAATTCCACTGAAGTAAATAATAGAAAAATTAGAAATAATCATAAATGAAAAGTGGAAAAATGTCTTATAGAGAAATTCAATATTGTTTGCAGCCTACAAAACACTTCAATGATCAACATTTTAAAAATAATTTAGAAGAGCTGTAGGAAAACATTCATAGATAAAAATCATTGAGAAAGTCAAATATATTAATATATAGTCCATTGAAATATGTTAAAGATGTAAGAAACTTTGTCTTCCTTTGCTTATGATGATGGCAGCATCCATAACTTAAATTGAAATGTGCTTCTGTGATGCCATCTCGTCTCAGGGTTTTGATCACTCTACTGAACTTGTACTCGGTAAAAACAGAGAGAAAACCCCAGAAAGTCCATCTCTTTGCACCCTGATCCAGGGACAATTTCTTTGTCAACATTTCTGGATGTATGAGTGCAGAAATGTGTTTGGTGTTGTTATGGATATTTTTTAAGTGTGAAGTTGCGAAGCTGAGGTAGAGGCATTTCTTGCAAGAAAAAGGTTCAAATTTAACTAACGTCCTCAGACAGAGAGATAGAGCTCTGACTGAGGCAACCTCAGTACATTTGTACCTTATAAAATCACACACACACACTCCCCCCAGGAGAACCAACCCACCCCCTGCATAAAGAACTTTCTCACACTTGGACATTTGAAGTAAAAACAGCTTGAGTTAATGAAGGCCGTTCCCTGTTAGGTTAATCTATCTTTCACTGGTCAGATGGATCTCCTAATAAAAGCAGTCAGTGTTAATTTTGACAGAAAATTCTGATTTAGTCTTAGTCTTACTCTTTTGCATAACACACCATTAAGTTTTAGTCATATTTTAGTCATCTGAAAATGTTTAGTCTTAGTCTAGTCTTAAGTCTTTTAGTCTTAGTTTAGTCTCAGTCTAGATTTGAATTAGACTTGAATTTCCCCTTGGAGATCAATAAAGTATCTATCTAGATTTAGACACAGATCGAACAGTTACAGATACAAAACATGTATTTTATTTTGAATTTCAAAAAGATAAACTGTGGCTTTGCTCCCTGAAAAAGTGCATTCTCCCTGAATGATATGCAAGTCATATAACATTTTCAAGCTGTTTTTATTGAAAAAACAGTGAAACCACTCAAAAAACATTAAGAAAAATAAAGTGAAATTCTCAAAAAAAAAAAAAAATTATTGGTTGTAATGCCATTGCACACAAGGTATCTAAATGCAGAAAATTCACTACTGTTAACATTACATACGTTCACATACCTCAAGAGAAGTTAAATAACTGCTAGGCTGGAATGCCTTACAAAATCAACAAGGTTTGAACAGATTAGTGCAATTCTTAAATGTAGAATAAAATATTGGCTGTAATGCCATTGCACACATTACCAAAAAAATACTCCTCAATGTTCAAGTAACTGAAAAAACCCTGCTCTCCTGGCATTGCGAATACAGGTAAAGATCACATGAAACTGAAAAGCAGACTGCTTTTCTTAATCAATTACTCTGATTTTGCACACAATGCACAAAGATTTGAAATGAAAAAAAAAAATATTTAAATGAAATGCTAAGCTATAAGGCCATTATTGCATTAATTGCACAAAAACATCTCTGCTCTCATATTAACCAAAAAACAAAACAAATACCAGACCAGTAACTCTCTAAGCTGTGCACATACTGCTACAGGAATGCTGTAAATAGCAGTGAATACAATGGTTCTATTTGTTTCTGTTCATTTTAAGGAAAGCACTTCGCTCCAATCTGACCCTTCCTCTGTTGCGCCGTCCTCTGGTGAGATCACCTGTGATAATGAATACCCTTTCTGCGAAAGCTTGAGAAGCTGGCATAGCCAACAAGTCTAATGCAAAAGGTTTCAAACTGTGATAAAAAATGTCACTCTTTTCCAGCCAGAAGTCTGTGCCTGTGTCCTCAGTGATGGGATGTGAAAGTTCCTCCTTGTACTTAATGATCTGCTGCCTGACGCTGGTTGTGGAGGTTTTCTGTTTAGGCCTTGTGGTACGGCATCTTGAAAGAAATCTAAACACCGGCTGCTTTGAGGATGGTGCTGCTTCTGGTTCCTCAACAACTTCATCATCTTCAGACTCCTGAAGTCCTGAGTCCTCCTGTCTTGTGTGTGGGGAAGTGCATTTGACCACATAGTCTTCTGCCTGTTTCAGCAGTTCCTGGATATTTCCATCAGCTACATCAATATTTACAAGTATTTCACAGACAGTCGGGTTGACAAAGCAGGCAGCTGCTGCAAGTGGTGAGAACTTCTCATCGTTTGAATCCAAAAGGCAAGCAAAACGTAGGTTCAGATTTGATCTCATTTTCTCTGCAAGAGTGGCGAGGTCTCTGTCCCGAGTGTTCTCTGCAAAGTCAGCTAGGTGGCTCAGCAGATCAAAGAGGGCAGGAACCACTAGGGACATAGATGCAGTGTCACTCTGTAGGGTTTTAGTGTGTTCCGCAAAAGGCAGCAGTATGTCATGCAATGATGAAAGCTTTTGCCACTCACTAGTAAACAAACTGTCCCATCCCATGTCATTTGAGATTTGACAGACTGCATCTTTGTGTGTGAGGAGTCGTGTGACCATGTTGAATGTGCTTGACCAGCGTGTGGGGCAGTCATTTACAACAATAACACCACACTGGTCCAGTAACCTCTGTGTTGCTACTGAGGACTTGCGAAAGAGCCTCACCACGGACCTTGCTTTATCGAGGACTCTTTTGACCGTTGTTTCTTTCTGCGTCATGTGGACCAATAGTTGTATGGTATGCACCCGCACGGTGTCCGGGCCATTTCCATGTCGACATGATGGTACCTAACAAGAAAAGACAACCAAATAAGTCCAAACCTAATATAGTGTCTGGTGTGTGTGTGTATGTAGTGTGTGGCAGAGGGGAAATCATTCATGTGATAATTGATCATGTAAAAAAAGTAAACATGGCTCACCGCTGGTCATAAATTTCAGAGTCACTTTCCATCGAGGACCCAGGGGAGTCATCTTCAGAGCTGGTTTCTCCTGCTGTGGTGTTTTTAAAGGCTGCCACCATGTTACTCCCATTGTCAGGATCTTCTCCTTTGGTATGGCCCACTCTTGCATACATTTGTCCACACATGCCTTAATAGACTGAGCAGTGTGTGGGTGAGCTACTTGTTCAAGGGCCAACAATATGTGCACAGGTTTACTTTGTTCAACACAATGGTAGCATGCGCTTATAGCAAGGAATGAGGCAGTCAGTCCTTTTTTTGTCCACATGTCAAGGCCTATGCTGACCCTCCTGGCAGCAGCCAGTCTTTTTTTGAATTTGTCTCTTTCATGTTCATATTCAGTTTTAACTAAATTGCTAATTGTTAATTTCTTTGGAATTGTTAGTTTCTTTTCAATTATCTCCATCATTTGTATAAAGTCCTCGTCCTCGCATGTTGTTAGCGGTAATCCTTGCAGTAGTGATGGTCTGCTGGGTAACACTAGCACTAGCTTTATCTCCACCATGGTCATTTTTATCATCAGACGTCTTCTGTATCTGTGTGAGATAGAGAAAAAAAAACTCAACTTGATTTCCCCTTTATTCATTGTTGCCCAATCTCCTCAGATCTTGCCCTCTCTCTCTGGAAGCAGGCTTTGCAACAATGGAATCAACTAAACAAGCGAACTGTCCATGCTATCGCTTTCGTAGGGCCAAAGAAAGTTGTGCAACAAGTCGCCTTCTTTTTAAACAAACCGCGATTTCCTTTGCGAGCTAAGAAGGCATGGCTAATTGCCAACGGCCTTCGAGGAGTCCTGTCCCTTAATGTTACATACACCAGAACATATAGCCTAGTAGCCTACACATTTGATTCAATTTGAGAACATTGAATAGTTATACTCATATCACTCAACGAGACAATCGTCTAATACAGTTCAGAGGGGGTTTCCTTTAGCGTCTATGTTATTCCAAGTTTAGCGCAAACACGGCGGTTAATCAAATAAAAAATAACCTTATATGCTTAGCGTGTATGCTTACCTTCGCATGTATCTCTGGATGAGTCGTCTGCAAATGCCGTTTCAAGTTGGTGGTGTTTTTTCCGGATATTTTGGCTCCACACGGTTTGCAGGCTGTCTTGTTGTCCTTAGTGTCATACGTGAAGTGTGCCCAGATATCAACTCTTCTTTTTCGCCCTAGCTGTTGTAACATGTCTATTATTCATTTGATTTTTGAAAGGCTACTACTGCTATGAAAATGCTGCTTCTATGCTTCAACCATATGCGCTCTCTTCTTCTTCTCCTTCTTCGCACAGCTTTATGGCGCGTTACCGCCACCTGGATTTCTTTCTATGGCGGTTGGCAGCTAACTTTTGATTGGATTTCTTCCCAAATTGTACCACAAAAAAAGTAATTCTGATAGGATCACCATTCGTCCCTCCCTAATAGTTTAGTCTCGTTTTTATTCGTTGACTAAAGTGTCAGTTATTTTTGTAGTCATCATATCTCACTTTTTATTTAGTTTTTATTTAGTTTAAGTCCGTGAAAAAGGTTCGTTGACGAGTATTTTTCGTCATAGTCTTCGTCAACAAAGTTAACACTGACAGCAGTCCTCCCCTTCATGCCATGAAGGAGGCTGTGACTCATTCTTGTCTCTGAT